CGCATCAACTGTTTTCGTCTACATTACGTCGGATATAAAGAGTTTACGTACAAACGAAGGTACTCACTCATAATTTCAACCTACTTTCACCAGAAGTACATCAAAATCGTCGTGATAGTGCCCCTTTAAAGACTCGTAATCTCCAAATTTGTTTTTGTTTCGCTTTATCAGTGGTTGGACCTCGTATCGTACAATTCACTAAGTATCCTTGTTCGTAACTTCAAATCGCCTTCGCGCCTCGCGGTTGTCCAATTTTTTTTTGGAATCACTCGCCTAGTCGTTCCCTGGATTGTATTAAACTAGGTCTAGATACTAATACTAATAACAAGATTCTGGACTTTAAGTACATATTATACCCACCGCAGTGGATTTTAGCACAATAATCACACGATAATTAAACTTCAGATTTCCACTTGGAATTGAGAGGGTGTTCATTTACAGAATCAAAGCAACAGGGTACATATGTTGGCACACAGCTACCCGACCTAAACGAAAGTTTGCAGACTCAAAGAATTAGCATGTATAGTTTAGCTAACAGCTCGTTTCTTAGTTGGCCTTAACCTAAATTACCTCGAAGATGGCTCTCTGGTCCTAAAAGGCTCTTTTTTGCTGATCAGTTAGAGCTATCGATTTAAGCCTGATTAATCTTTCAGAAAAAAAGAACCTTATTTCTAACAGAAGCAGGTGCGTATTGCTAGTTTGTAGTCAGCTTTCAGTGATTGGCAGGAAGCTTTGTAATACGTCGACAGCTCTCGTTGGAGGCTAAAACCATTTGAAGATTTAATTATTCTGATAGAAAATTTCATTTTGCATTGTCGGTGATATCCGCCATTTAACAGTAAAATATAGTCATCAGCCCTCTCTGTAGGAGCTAGATAATAATTTACATACAATGAAAAAAAAAAACAGACATTTTTTTTATTACCTGTAAGTAAGCGAAAAAGCCCCGTTAAATTAAAGACCTTTGGGTTCTTGATATTGGTGTTAAACTTCGACTTTGCCCTATACTTGTGACGTACCGTTAATGTTGTTGTTGTTTCTTTCTTTTTTTCTTCCTGTATCAATATCTTAAACTTTAATTTCACTGAAAAGTGTAATAATCACTCCCCCAAAAGGCCGATAAAGCTTTGTTTTAAATTGCTAGTCAGGTTGATTCTAGCCTGTGAACACGAGAGAGCTTAGGAGTTTTGCAAAGAGGAAATGAACTCTTAGCAGATGTTGCATTTTAATTCGCTTTCGTTAAAAGCATGGGTATTCAATTAAGGTTGATTCATCTTATCAGAAGTTCAACTCATTCGAATTTTCCATATTTCGCTGCATTTCTTTTTCACTCATTTAATATATGCAGTTCTAAGTCTATGTTATTCATATTGTTCTCTGTAGTTTTATTACTGGCATGAAACTGTGGCTGACGAAACACGCTTTCCTCGAGACTGTGCTGTCTTTTCCTGAAAGTTATCATTTGCCTTTTGTTATCAAGCACGTTTGGAAATGTACATGTAGATAATTCAAAACTCCGGCTGTCGACACCTATCTTACTCTAAACTTAAAATTGTTCTTGACTTTGTTTACTTTAATATACAAAGCCACA